AGAACCACATAACAAAATGGCCGCCATGTTAACGTTTTCTTCTTCTTTGCAAATGAAAACGCACAAACCTGGGCAACTGACTTGAAACATGAGGGCTTAGCGAAGGTGACTAACAATTTGATAGAACAGCAGTTCCTATTGGTCTAATGTGTTAGCTGTGCCCTAGTAACCAATCAAATTGCTCGTTATATCACTGAGCAGACCTCAGGCCGATCAGATCGGCCCTGGCACGAATAGGTGTTTACGCGCGGGCTGATCTGATCGGTCCGTGGCACGAATAGGGTTAAGACATATAATTTTGCATATCTTTGCTTTTTTACTATTACCAGTAGCAGTGGTACTAGTGCATGTACCAGCAAAAAAAAATATTTCCTTCAGACATATAATGGAACATTTACTTGGGCGACTGATTATAAAGACAATATGAAATCATTCTTGTTGTTTATTTTAGCTGAGAAAATATGTGGGAAAGCTCTTAGAGGCATCAGTGAATGTGCTGACTTGAAGGAAATTGGCGTCAAGACTATGGGAAGACAAATTCTTCTACTTGAAGAAATTAATAATCTCCTTGGTTCAACTCCTTCAAGCATCAATTCTGGAACATGGGTATGTTGAAGTGGATAAAGAGGGAGACCTTACCAATCTCAGGAGAGACCAGTTGAAAGTGGCCAAAAAGATTGATCTCTAAATGTATAGACAGCGCTAGCTCCTTTCATGTACATGGACATGTGCAAATTATGTGGATGTTTACTATGGTTCATATTTTGTAAGAATAATTGAGCCAGTGACTGCAGAACTGACACATGTTGATGTTAAATTACTATGGATCAAATTTTGTAAGAATTGTTGAGCCTGACTACAGAACTGGTCACACATGTACAGGCATCATGTGACTGTGCGATACTAGTATGGTTTCATTGGTCAAGCCATCTGTGACAAAGATCCAAGGAATTAAAAAATCTCAAGAATGTTGTGTTAAACTTCCTAAAAGGAAAAAACAAAAAGACCTATATAACGGCAACAGCAAATGCTCTCCTGGAACATGGTTATGTGGAAGTGGACAAAGGAGAGATCAGTTAAAAGTGGCCAAAAAAAATTATCTGTAAATGTATGGACTCCTTTCATGTACATGGACAAATAATGTTGATGTTTTCTGTTGATCGTATTTTGTAAAAATTGTTGAGCTTATATATAAATCAGAGCTACACAATTGCCTTTTATCCAACATACGGTTTAATGTTGAAGTAATGGATGTTTTTCACTTTGAAAGTCACACAGGCATCCTGTGATAATGCATTGAAACCCTGTCAGTTGCAATTGTTTAGAGATCTTCAAGATATTTTTGCGGTTGAAACAACTAAAAAAGCTAGTAAAGAACTCCATTATCTGGGCAATTGTGTGTGCTCTTAATCTTAAACATTGCTCATCTGGAAGTTGGCCTGGGGTCAGAGATCATCTTAAAAAGGAAAAGGTTTCTTGTACAGGCTGGGTCAGTTCCTCAGTCGCAATCTTTTAACTACCAGATTGGTTTTCAATGTACTTGGTATTTTTTTTTTTTTTTGTACTTTACAGTTACAGTACATTGTTGCATATACGAAATTATAAATTTCATTACTTAAATGCTTCTTTGTTGTGACTTTTACTTTAAAATACACCACTTAGTACATTTCAATCACTACTCGCCTCATTACAAAAAACCTGCCATGGTAATTAAAGTGACCACTGTGGTCCTTTACATTGGAAATCTAGATTTCCTTCCATAGAAATTGTGATTTACATGCTTCCCTACAAAACCAATTTCCAAGTGTGGTAAATGTTATCCATCTGTAATCTTGACCATAGAAAAACCTGCCATGGTAATTAAAGTGACCACAATGTGGTCCTTTCCATTGGAAATCTAGATTTCCTTCCATGGAAATTGTGATTAACATGCTTCCCTACAAAACCACTTTCCAAGTGTGGTAAATTTTATCCATCTGTGGGCTTGACCATAGAAAAACCTGCCATGGTATTTCATTTTCCATAGTGGGATAAGTAATCTTGGACATTGCGATTTCCTTTCTTGGGAATTCCAATTACCATGATAAATCCCAATGTTGTGTATGCATAGTTTCCACATTTGGAAAGTTTAGAAACCATCAGTGGATTTGTACAAAAACCATGTGTGGAAAAAGAGTACTTTTTCCCTCACATTACCTTGCTTGTCAGTAGGGAGACGACTGTTGTATGAAGAAAAAACCCTCAGCTGATAAGTATTCTCGTCGCTTGTTCACTAAATAATATGTTGATTGTGGAAAGAGAAGCAACATGTTCCTCCCTTCTGTAACTTGATGGCTTTAAAAATCGAGCGAAGCAAAATTAAAACCAGCAAACTCTTATCAATGATATGTGGGCTCCAGTAGTTATTGAGATCTCTTATGGGCAAGCTGTAATGCAAGTTCCATCCTTATTACGTTTATAATGATTACTTTTAACTGATAATTTTCCTATTCAATCTTACAGTAGCTCTTCGCATTCTTCATTGCTTTGCAGAGAAAGTTTATATCAGTTTTGTGATTTTGGTCTCCTAACTATCCAGAGATTTTTTAGTTTTTTAAGGTGAGTGGTTAAAAATTTATTTCATGAACATGCGTTAATATGTTTTGGATGAAAACTTGTTACTCATGAAGATAACACCCTCTGATTGATGAGTCTGTTTACTCTCAGCATTGCTATATGGTATATTGTTATGTACTTGGACTTTCCCTAAACAAAACAAGTACTGTGATTGGTTGATTCTTGGTCACGTGCTCCTGATCAAATTCAAATGTATCTCTACCGGAATTTGTTGTTGCCTGCGCGCCGAATACAACAGCATGATTTTTCCAAATGATTGTTGAAGGGAAAGTCTAAATACATAACAAAGCGGTGAATAATGATTGGAAATATATAAAAATCATATATGTGCAGAGGTGAGAGGTTCAAATCCCGTACGGGCCTGAATTTTTTTCAGGTCTTACTTCAACTACCCGTTCAGTTGTGCTCTTAGCTGCGAGGATCGCTTATGTCCGTATACAGCTATTTCAATTTACGTTGTCGGATCAAAGCCTCAAGCCTACAACCCCGAAAGCCTAAAATTAATTCTAATCTATCCATACCGCCTTTCGGTCTTGTCCCGTACCCTTGAAGCTTTGATCCGACAACGTAAATTGAAATAGCTGTATAACCAAGCATTTAATGTATGGTCCCTCGGGAAACTAGTTAGTTTTGTTTTCTTGTTGGACTCTCGGGAAAACAAAGCTAAATGTTTCCCTCCAGACCATACATTAAGTGTATATTGATATTGTAAAGAGAAACTACAAGTTCATCAGATCTGTGATGATTTAAACAAAGAATATCCCGTATGTTATTAGATGAATCTTATGAGCAACTTAAGAAACAATCTTTCTTCCATCTTAGGATTTTTTTTATTTTGATGATGACTTCTCACCAACTGTGCGAGTAAAACGTTTGCATTTACATTTGTCAGGGAAAGTCTCATTTCATTTTCTTATTTTTGTTTTCATTAGTCACGCTATCAGGCACTAATATAAAAGGCATGTTCTGTTTCCAAAAGGTGAGCTGTTCGTTTTATTTAATTTCTGCATTTTTATTGCTTCCTCAGTTTCATTTTCAATGAGTGAAATTGACTTTATCATTTTACGAAACAAAAAAATTGGAGAAGCTGGTATATGAGTTACTGAAGAAAGGCGTATGAAGAAAGATTTTCCCTCGCCTGAAAAACAAAGCATTTTGTAAGCGGTTGAAACGCTGGGTAGAATTTTTGCTCTTTGCCCAAATTTATGCGGTATTAAATCAAAATAATTGATGGGCGGTTAATCATTGACGACAGTTACATGTTCTAATTTCTTCGTCTCAAATTAACCAAGCGAGTTTCTAAGACTGACATGTCGGCTTGATCTCTATGGGACAAACGGTTAGAAATACCAACACAAATCTTGCACAAATATCTTCACCAGGGCACAATTGAATAGTTTTATAGTTCGTTTAATTGTAGAATTTGGATTTTTTTGTTGGATTTATGTCCATCAAATTTTTCCACGACGCAACGAAAATAGATCTACGTCACGTAGATGGATATCTCCAAATCGATTTAAGATATATTGATTTACCTCGATTTTGAAAAAAATAGCAATGGAAATCAGAGCTGAATAAGTTTGATGTTTTCACGGAATGGAAGAAGAAATTGACGAGTCACGTATATTTCAGGAGGCCAATTACGCCCCTCATGTGTTCATAGATTCAGTAATCACGCTCGCCTTTCTGTAAAAGTCACGCTTCACATTTACTCGTCACGAGTGAATCTAAACATATCACGATTGGTTAATTAACCGCTGGTCTTCTGGTGAAACTTTTTTGATAGCTGTATCCAAATCCCCTCTACGATTGTTGCAATTTGAACCCAGATGATACACTTGTGACTGGCCTGAAAAAAAGTGAAAAAAGGAATGTTGCACTCAGATATCTGTAAAAAGGGAAGAAGGAAGACAACCACAAATTTCCTAAAACACTTTATAAACTACAAAATTTATCAGTGTTTCTTTTTTTAAGCTTCCCTTTCTTGTTGATTCTGTCGGGAACGGGTATCCGACAAATAAGTCACAGGTTTAAGTCTCCAACTGGTTTACTGTTGTTTTCCCTGATTACAGATATCTTCGGTTCGCTATCTCGCTCTATCTCTCTCTCAAACACACACCCCTTAAAAGCCGATCTTATTACACTGTTTCGCAATCAAGTCTAATGTTCAAAGGAGCTTGTCTTTCACTTAATATTAATAATAGTAATGCTTTCTTGTCACGTTATGTCATGCTATGTCACGCTTTCCGTCACTACTCTCCCCCTATTTGACACTTCGGTTACAGTGGCAAATATGAATAATCCGAGAAGCGACTACAATAAATGCGAATATGCTCAAAATGTCTCAATCAAATATTCAAATTTTCAAAGACAATTGTTCGTCATCAACCAAACTCCTCATCACTTGCGATACTTCGAATTCGCGCCCTCGCAGCGACTGCAGCGTCTCTGGTCGGCCTGAAGGTTGGCGCCTCTGCGTTCAGTGGTGCTTTGGATTTGTCTGTGGTCCTGTCGCAAGATAGCTCCAACGGGTAGAGGTGCTGTATGGGCCTCTCTAGATAAGACTTCCCAGCTCGCAATTTAACGGCCCTGATGACACCATCACTTCCTGGAAACAGCTCGTCTACGATTCCTAACTTCCACTGCCCGCGGTTCTTCTCGTCGCCCTTGATAATAACGACGTCCCCACTTGTTACAGATAGCTGCCTTTTGTTGTGTTTCATGTTGTGCCTTTCGCGTAGTCCCCTTAGGTACTCGGCAGACCACCTTTTCCAGATCACATCTTTGCATCTGGCAAGATATCTTGCACGCTTTCTCAGATCAGGATGCTCTTGATGGTGTGCTTCAGGATCAGGCAACAAGTTAGGGCGTCCGAACTGTAACATGTTAGGGGTCAACAAAGGAAGCTGTAGATCTTCTTCTACATAACTCAGAGGACGGTTGTTCAGCGCGACCTCCACGTCTAGCAGCACGTCCTGCAGTTCTGCCCAGGTGAGGGTTCCATTTCCGACAGACTTATTGAAGGCCTGCTTGACAATATCGACCATCCGTTCAAATTGCCCGCCCCACCATGGAGCTCTACTGAGATTGAACTGCCATTTGATATTCATCTTGGCAAGGTAGTCATGGAGGCGCTCGTCTTGCATTACATTCCGTAGCCACTTTGCTGCAGCTACGAAGGTCCTACCATTATCTGAATAGATTTTTACAGGACGACCTTTTCTTGCTATGAACCGCTTCAAAGTGGTGATAAACTCTTCAGTCTCCATGGTCTTGGTCAATTCGAGGTACAAGGCTCGGGACAGGCTACAGGCATACAGGACTATGTACGCTTTTCCTTTGTTTTTGCTGTCACGGTACTTGATCGGTCCGGCGTAGTCTATTCCAACAACCTGAAAGGGCGAGGTTCCCTCTGTTCTATCTGTAGGTAGGTTGCCTGGAGGAGGGTTGGCAAATGATACATGAAATCTTTTGCATCCATAGCACCGCTTGATAAGGCGTTTAACAAGCTGGCGCAATCTGGGTACCCAATACGTCTCGCGTACTTTGGCCATGGTGAAACCAACTCCCCCATGTAGGGTCTGGTTGTGGAGGTGTGTCACTAGTTTTCCAGTAAACACGCCATCGCCAGGTAGGTAAATTGGGTAGTGGCCTTGAATACGTCCTCGGCACTCGAATATCCCATCTAGGTTCTTCTGGAGGTTCAGTTTCATTTGGTCTTCATCAAACTTGATGGTGCCTTGACTCCTAACTTGTGATCTTCTTTCCCAGAACTGCAACTGGTTGGCTGTCTCTTCGGTAGTGATTGGTCCGGTGATCCTTTGCTGGCGTTTAGCTCTGCAGTTCCTTGTAAATCGCACAACCCACGAGCAGATTCGGATGGCCTTCCATAAGTCGTACTTGTGCATCACCAGGTCTAGATCGTCATCCGTCTTCACAGTTACGCCCAGAACTCCCCTTATGATCTTGGCTTCGGCTTGTGATTCCTTGGTAGGAGTGGCGGCAATATCTGCCGGTCAACTCTCTGGGAAAGGTAACCACGTTGGCACATGCCACCACAGATCTGAGCAGTTACTAATTTGCCCGCCTCGGCTACCCAGGTCGGCAGGGTTTTCCTTGGTACCCACGTGCCTCCACTGGATGTACTTCTTCTCTTGGATTTTCCTCACTCGATTGCTAACAAACTGCTTATAATCTCCGCCCCCCTTGATCCAGTGAAGAGCTTCGCTGCTATCGAGCCAACAATAAACACCTTCAACTGGGAAACCTTGCAGTGCTTCTTTAACGTTATCTACAAGATTGGCTGCCATGTGCCCCGACACTAGTTCGAGTCTTGGTATGGTGAGCCCTTTCTTCGCCAGTCTAGACTTTGCTGTTACGAGCCCTTGTGATAGCCCCGTCGCTTGATGTGTGACGGCGTAAACAGCAGCTAACACGCCCTGGCTGCTCGCGTCGCCAAAGGCATGCAGGTTGATGCTAATGATCTCTTCTTGATGCTGGGCAATGCTTCTTGGTACTTCTACCTTGTCTGTTAGGTTGTTCTCCCAGGTTTGCCAACGGATCTCGAGTCCCTGGGGTAGCTCTTGGTCCCATGGGATTCGGACTTCACACATTTCTCTGTAAAGAAATTTCCCTTCCAAAGTGATTGGTGATGCTAGACCCAGGGGATCGTAGATCTTAGCGATCTTTCCGAGGACTTCTCTCTTAGTTGCTTTCGAAATCGGGTCAGGGAAACTGGTTTGTATTGTATCCTCTCGTTTATCCCATGGTACACCAAGCAGCTTCGTTTCTCCTTGCTTGACTCCTAACTGGTCCTTGGCATAGCTCTGGTTCTCACTTTGATGGGTAGTGGGTAGTTCTTTTATTGTTTCTTCGTGGGGTGAAGACTGTTCCAGGGCCGGGACATTAGAGTGCCATTTGTGCAGTTCAAATTTCCCAGCTCTGAAAATGGACTGTGATGCTTGTTTCAGGTGTTGTGCGCCAGCCACGGTTTTATCACCGCTGATTAAGTCGTCCACGTAGAGACTTCGTCGGATCTCTTCAACTTTCCTTGGGTAGACGTTCTGAAGCTTTTTTAGGTGCTGATCAATCACTCCCCCAAGCAAGAATGGCGACGTGGACAAGCCGAACAGTGCTCGTGTGAAGCGTAAAGTTTCCACGTGTTTGGTGTCTAGGTCCTTGAGCCAGTGAAATCGCATCACGTCTCTGTCTTCCTCTCGGATTCTCACTTGTAGAAAAGCTTGCTTCAGGTCCCCTGCTAGGGCCACAGGTTGGAACCGGTTTTTCACGAGTACGCTCCAAAGTTTGTTTTGCAATGGTGGCCCAGTCTCTAGGCAGTCGTTGAGGGATGGTGCTTTCTCGTTCGCTCGGGCGGACGCATCGTAGACAATTCGAATCTTCGTGCTCTCTGCCGTCTCTCGAATCACGGCCTTATGCGGGATGTAAAACCTCTTCCCTTCTGGTTCACTGTGCACTCGTTCGACTATTCCTTGAGATAACTGATCTTGAATGACCCCGTCATACTTCTGCAACATGCCTGGTTGTTTCTCTAGCTTTCTGACAAGGTTCTCTAGTCGTTTCAGGCTGCCATGTTTGTTGTTAGGGAGGGGTGGATGATTTCCCTTCCAAAGGAGGCCTGTTTCGTACCATCCTTGCGGGTTTCTTGTTAGCTGCTCCTTGAATTCTTCGAATACGAGATCTTGGTCGCCAACTGGATGGTCTTGTAGACCAAGCACATCAAGTCTACACAAGGCTTCATAGTCAGCCGCAGAGGTTTGGGTCAGGAACATGTTTGTGAGGTCAGATTCACTTCCGGGTGACATGATGGTCCATCCTAATCTTATTAATTCGGCAATGGGTTCTCCTGGTTTCCCGATCTTGGGTGTGGTCTCGGTCTTTATCTGCGCGTATTCGTTTGTTCCGAGGATAAGATGTACGGGAAGCTCCTCTTTCTCGTGTACGTCATCCATTGTGACTTCTTTCAGGTGATCGTATCTTTCCACCAGCTCCTTGTACCGAGGGTTTCCAAACTGAGTAGCGTTCCGCGGTCCACCTTAGTCACTTCGGTTCGAAGCGGAAATTCCCCCGTCAAATTGCTGATAACAACATTGTAAATTTCGATCTCTCTGTTGCTCGCTTGCATCATCATTTCGATGCGTTTGAACTCTCTTCGAACTGGCTGTTTCCCAACGCGATCGAGCAAGGCCGCAGATGCGTAGGAGCTCCCAGCACCAGTGTCTAACAGCGCGCGGCAATGGATTCCACCCACACTCACTATGACCACCGGATAAGTGACGGATCCTTTCCCAGTAGCTACCAACATAGGCTTCGGCGATTGTTGAGGTATCTTCTCGGGACAAATTGACGAGTGTTGTCTTCGGTTGCAAAACTTGCAGCACGCAGAACAGCGACACTCTGAGGCCTTGTGATTTGCGCCGGTGTAGTTGAAGCACAACTGTTTACGATTCAACTCCCTTCTGCGCTCTTGTACTGTGGTCACTTTGTCGCAGTTGACGGACTGATGGTTTACACTTTCGCAGTAAAAGCACGGTCTTCTTTTTGGTTCCCCTTGGCGTGTTTGGTAACTTCTGTTCTTCGGTAAAAAAGGTTTCACAGGCTTGAACGGTGGCGGCTTGTCTTGGATTTGTCTCTCTTCACTGTGTTTGGGCGGGTTTCTGATAGTCCACTTTCGTAATACCTCAACAAGCTGCGGGAATCTCCATTCTTGCCAGTCATCATCGGTTCTCATCAAGTCTCCTCGAATTCCTTCTAGCTTGTTCAGTGTCATCCTTACGTAGCCATTCACCTCCCCGAGTTTGCCCATCGTTTCAAGTGCTTGAACATTTGAGCATAATTTTTCATAAAACTGCGACACCTTGTTTGGGTTTGCTCCATAAATCGAAGGAAGTGACATGATGCCGTCAACATAAGCATTTACGATTTCGCTTTCTTTCCCGAATTTTAACTTCAAAATATTCTTTGCTCGTTCGTAGCCTTCTGTGGTCAACGGGAGACCATCTATGGACGGTCGAACTTGCGGCTCCAAAAGCTCCTTAAGATAGGAGAACTTTGTGATTTGTGAAATATCTGCTGCATCAATTTCCGCTGTGAACTGACCCCAGAACCGCACCCAGTCGGCGGGTGTGCCTTTAAACTGAGTGATGATAAGTTTTGGCAACTTGGCGTTGATGTTTTGCTCCTTTTTCTCTTCAATTTTCTTCTCGTATTTTTGCTTTTGCTCCAGCTTGGCTTTTTCGAACCGCATTTCCTCGTCGTACTTTTCCTCCCTGAGCTGTGCGTCATGCTCCTCCTTTTCTTTCTCTTCTGTTTGCGCTTCGACGCGTTTGCATTCCTTGATCGTCACGTCGAGCTGGTCGATTGTCGCCTCAAACACACGAACACGTTCTTCGATTTCTGTGCTCTGTTTCACGATCTCGTGTTCTTCCTTTTCTGCCTCAAACATCAGTTTTTGTATTTCAGTTTTCAGAGCGTGGACTTCTTCAACTTTCTTCTTTAAGGTGTTTTGTATTCTCGCCATTGATATGACCGCTTTATTTCCGATCGCGGTGATTGCCTGTCCTTGGGTTAGTTTAAGGGTCTGCAGCTTTGTGTTGATCGCTTTCGTAAGCTGATCGACTGTTTTCGCCATCTTCTGTTCGCTGGGTCCCGTCGGAGGTGCCACTTTTGTCGGGAACGGGTATCCGACAAATAAGTCACAGGTTTAAATCTCAAACTGGTTTACTGTTGTTTTCCCTGATTACAGATATCTTCGGTTCGCTATCTCGCTCTGTCTCTCTCTCTCTCTAAAAACACACACCCCTCAAAGGCCGATCTTATTACACTGTTTCGCAATCAAGTCTAATGTTCAAAGGAGCTTGTCTTTCACTTAATATTAATAATAGTAATGCTTTCTTGTCACGTTATGTCATGCTATGTCACGCTTTCCGTCAATTCTTTCCTACGACAATAAACAGGAGAGAGCCGTAATGAGTGACGCTGCAGAAATCCTAAAATCAGTCAAGATGGGTTTAAATGTCGTCATATTTCTTCTGAACACTGATCGAGGTCTACAAGCGACTGAGTTATGTAATGAATGTGTAACTCTACTTCAAAACCTTGACTCTGGTAGTCACCTTGATATCTCCGATGTACTATTCAATGCGTATTACGCCAACTCCGGTTACGCAGATGCAGAAAGACATGCCACCAAACTTCTTGACACATTTCACCATGCTTGGAGACTAAACATAAAACTGGGAGACAAATATGAAGCACAAAGCCGGTTTGTGGAGGCCAAGCAACTCTTTAAATGCGCACTCACCATCATGAAAACAATTGGTCCCAAAAGAGAAGAAGCACTGGCTCATGGGAGACTTGGAAATGTCTGTGCTAAACTCAGTAAATATAAGAAGGCTAAAGAATACCTCGAGAAAGCACTTGCCATCGCGATAGAAATTGGCGACAGAAGAGGAGAAGGAAAAAGATACGGGAACCTCGGACGTGTGTTTGAATCCCTTGGCGAATATCAGAAGGCTAAAGAATACCACGAGAAAACACTTGCCATCGCGATAGAAATTGGCGACAGAGGCATAGAAGAAACAGCATACGGGAACCTCGGAAGTGTGTTTGAATCCCTTGGCGAATATCAGAAGGCTAAAGAATACCACGAGAAAGCACTTGCCATCGCGATAGAAATTGGCGACAGAAGCACAGAAGGAACAGCATACGGGAACCTCGGAAGTGTGTTTAATTCCCTTGGCGAATATCAGGATGCTAAAGAATATATCGAGAAAGCACTTGCCATCGCAATAGAAATTGGCGACAGAAGAGGAGAAGGAGTAAGATACGGGAACCTCGGAATTGTGTTTTCTTCCCTTGGCGAATATCAGAAGGCTAAAGAATACCACCAGAAAGCACTTGCCATCGCGATAGAAATTGGCGACAGAAGCACAGAAGGAACAGCATACGGGAACCTCGGAAGTGTGTTTAATTCCCTTGGCGAATATCAGAATGCTAAAGAATATCACGAGAAAGCACTTGCCATCGCGATAGAAATTGGCGACAGAAGAGGAGAAGGAGCAAGATACGTGAACCTCGGAAGTGTGTTTTATTCCCTTGGCGAATATCAGAATGCTAAAGAATATTACGAGAAAGCACTTGCCATCGCGATAGAAATTGGCGACAGAAGCAGAGAAGGAACAGTATACGGGAACCTCGGAGGTGTGTTTTTTTTCTTTGGCGAATATCAGAATGCTAAAGAATATATCGAGAAAGCACTTGCCATCGCGATAGAAATTGGCGACAGAAGAACAGAAGGAACAGTATACGGGAACCTCGGAAGTGTGTTTTGTTCCCTTGGCGAATATCAGAAGGCTAAAGAATACCACGAGAAAGCACTTGCCATCGAGATAGAAATTGGCGACAGAAGAGGAGAAGGAGAAAGATACGGGAACCTCGGAAGTGTGTTTAATTCCCTTGGCGAATATCAGAAGGCTAAAGAATACCACGAGAAAGCACTTGCCATCGCGATAGAAATTGGCGACAGAAGCACAGAAGGAACAGCATACGGGAACCTCGGAAGTGTGTTTAATTCCCTTGGCGAATATCAGAAGGCTAAAGAATACCACGAGAAAGCACTTGCCATCGCGATAGAAATTGGCAACAGAAGCACAGAAGGAACAGCATACGGGTTCCTCGGAAGTGTGTTTAATTCCCTTGGCGAATATCAGGATGCTAAAGAATATATCGAGAAAGCACTTGCCATCGCGATAGAAATTGGCGACAGAAGAGGAGAAGGAGCAAGATACGGGAACCTCGGAATTGTGTTTTCTTCCCTTGGCGAATACCAGAAGGCTAAAGAATACCACGAGAAAGCACTTGCCATCGCGATAGAAATTGGCGACAGAGGAGGAGAAGGAACAACATACGGGAACCTCGGAAGTGTGTTTCATTCCCTTGGCGAATATCAGAATGCTAAAGAATATCACGAGAAAGCACTTGCCATCGCGATAGAAATTGGCGACAGAAGAGGAGAAGGAGCAAGATACGGGAACCTCGGAAGTGTGTTTGATTCCCTTGGCGAATATCAGAATGCTAAAGAATATTACAAGAAAGCACTTGCCATCGCGATAGAAATTGGCGACAGAAGCAGAGAAGGAACAGTATACGGGAACCTCGGAGGTGTGTTTTTTTTCTTTGGCGAATATCAGAATGCTAAAGAATATATCGAGAAAGCACTTGCCATCGCGATAGAAATTGGCGACAGAAGAACAGAAGGAACAGTATACGGGAACCTCGGAAGTGTGTTTTGTTCCCTTGGCGAATATCAAAAGGCTAAAGAATACCACGAGAAAGCACTTGCCATCGCGATACAAATTGGCGACAGAAGAGGAGAAGGAGAAAGATACGGGAACCTCGGAAGTGTGTTTGATTCCCTTGGCGAATATCAGAATGCTAAAGAATATTACGAGAAAGCACTTGCCATCGCGATAGAAATTGGCGCCAGAAGAGGAGAAGGAGCAAGATACGGGAACCTCGGAAGTGTGTTTGAATCCCTTGGCGAATATCAGAATGCTAAAGAATATTACGAGAAAGCACTTGCCATCGCTATAGAAATTGGTGACAGAGGAAATGAAGGTTTAGCATACTTCAACCTTGGAATGGTGTTCTGGAATCTTAAAAAAAATCGGCAAGCTAAAGAATATTTGGACAAAGCAGTCGGCGTCAGTATTGCAATTGGTAACAGAGAGCTGGAAGCCAGAGCTACAGTGAGTTTGGGACATGTCTTTGATTCTGTAAATGACAGTCAGAAGGCAAAAGAACATTGTGAAAAGGCGCTTACAATCAACAGAGAATGTGGCAATAGAGAGTGCGAAGCACAAGTATACCTAAGCGTTGGACTTCTATCCCAATCTTTTGATGAATATGATAAGGCAGCATATTATTTACAGAAAGCTTGTTCCATAAGCAGCGAAATTGGACACAAAATGATTGACTTTCAAAGCCTTCTCCATATTGCAGTGTTAAAGATATCGCAGTTCGAGGTTGTGGAGGCATTGGAATATCTTTTCCAAGGTATTGAAAAATATGAACAAATAAGAACTCTTCAGAAAGGAAACAGTGGATTTGAAATTTCTCTGTTGGAGCATCGCGGTACTTTTCCCTACAAGTTACTCACTCACCTCCTTTGTGATACTGGAAAATTTCGAGATGCTCTCTATGTTGAGGAGCTGGGACGAGCAAGAGTCCTTGCACAACTCATGGCAGACAAGTACTCCTCTGAAAGCCACATCTCAGCTGATCCACGATCATGGTTCGGGATTGAAAACATCGCGAGAAGAGAAAGTAACTGTGTTTTTTTGTACATTTCGTATGAAGATCGGCAAGTTCTTCTCTGGGTATTGAAAGCAAATGGAGACATTTTCTTTCGAAAAACAGACCAAGTGAAAATAGACACTCTTATAGCTGAGCAAGTTTGCGAAGTGGAAGGAGTTTTCAAAAAGAGCGCCGAATGCTTTGGTGTTTTACCCGCAGCGAACTGCGAAGACCGATCGCTGGATGACAAGGTGACGACATCTCTTCATGAAGAGAGCCAAGCAAATTTGAGAGGTGACGAAACCAAAGGTACCGGACGAAGTCATTATTTGTGCTACGAATGGATCGTCGCACCTGTGGCAGATTTACTCACAGAGCCCGAAATCATCATTGTACCGGATCGTTTCTCGTATCGAGTCCCATTTGCTGCCTTGCGTGATGAACAAGCCGGAAAGTACTTATCGGAGAAGTACAGAATACGCATCGTCCCTTCACTGACAACTCTCCGGCTCATTCAAGAATCTCCAGCAGACTATCACAGTCAAACTGGCGGACTGATTGTGGGTGATCCTACGGTTGGCAAAGTGCAATACAATGGACGTCTCATTGACATTAAACCATTGTTCTGTGCAAGTAAGGAAGCAGAGATGGTTGGTCAACTGCTGGGAGTTCAGCCTTTATTGGGAAGTCGCGCAACAAAGCAGGCGGTTCTTCAAGCAATACCTTCAGTGAGTCTGATACATCTTGCCGCACATGGAGATCCCGAAAGAGGAGAGATTGCCCTCTCTCCTCAATGTACTACTAACAGTACTCCACAAGAGGAAGACTACCTCCTAACAATGTCCGACATTGAACGAGTTCAAGTACGAGCTAAACTGGTAGTACTCAGCTGTTGTCACAGTGGGCGTGGATTGGTTAAAAAAGAAGGAGTTATTGGAATCGCTCGAGCATTCTTAGCATCTGGTGCACGTTCAGTGTTGGTAGCATCGTGGGCTATAGAAGACCAAGCAACGGCGAAGCTCATGAAAAATTTCTATAAACACCTTGTGCGTGGAGAAAGTGCCAGTGAATCTCTTTACCGGGCCGTTCAATGGTTAAGAAGCAATGGATTTTCCAAACCTTCCCAATGGGCTCCGTTTGTGTTGATGGGGGATAACGTGACATTTAATTTTTTGAGAAAAGGGTAAGTCGGATTATAATGAGCAATTTTCTACGATACACCGATTAGCACACTTAACTTGTTCAGTTCACTCAGTTGTTCTAATTTTTTTGTTTTTCTTTGTCTTCGTCTTTCATCCATAAAATGCCAAGAAAAAGAACTTGATTTTATCTAGCGCTCGCAGCTAGTATATTTTACGGAAGGCTTTCTAAAATTGGCTTTGAATTAGCGTTTCTTTTGTATGCAATATACTCGGAAATAGTTAGTCAAAAACGATGCGATACTACACGTTATGACTATGAAGATAACTTGAGAAACTGAAAAAGTTCACTTTACCTGTGAAAAATCAACAGAAAATAACAATAAATGGACAATCTTAAAGTCACTTTCGAATCAAGCATGGTATTTTAGACAAGTTTGGACAATCATAGCCAATGGCATTGAAGAAGAAAGTAATTTCTTTAATCGGAAATCTGTTCCGTCTACTTTAAAGCTAAAATAGTTACCAATTTTTCATGTTTTTTAGGAAAGAAGAACTCGAGGAAGACAACAACGAGGCGGAGAAGAAACAGAGTGACTACTGATCCTACACAAAGATTCTTCTTTCTATACATTGTCGTTCAATGGACATTGGTATTTCTTAGCGAAGACATTTTTAATTTTTTTTTACGGTCAAGTAGTAGATTTTGCGTGTGTTTTTAGACAGGGCTTAGTCGAAAGCTAGTGATAATGAAACCTGCAATTCAACCGTTTGATCTATTAAGAATATTATCAATAGGGAACTACAATAAATTAGGATGGGAAAACTGAACACAGAAAATTAGCTGAATGTATAAAAATGTGAGAGTGTTTGCAAAGCTTTGTCAAAACTCAAAATTAATCCTTGATTTAAATAATTATAATTCTGTTTTCAATTCTCCCGCTGCACGCACACGTGATCATTAAAGAGTGATTAAGACTGTTCACAGGTGCAGGAGATGATAACATAACAAACTAACAGAAGAGGGAACAAAAAGTGCCGAGATACTGAAGACATAATAAAAAAAAAAGAGAAAGTAATTATGTAAAAATCAGACAGAGAAGAGAAAAATGCTTGAGAATTACCGCAAAAATCAAACAGTGTTGAGAACAGGGCGCTACATATTAATCTAAAAGTTAAATGGAGAAGAGAACAAACAGAGTGCAATATACTAAAAGAAAAGTATCAACAAATAGAGAAGAGGAGAATCGGTGAGCGAATTATTGAGATAAAATTAGGAGAAAACATTGCGCGAGATACTAACGTCAAACAGAAGAGTGCAAACAGTTGGTAGGATATGAACGTGACAATCAGCCAGAATTAACCCTTTAACTTCCAAGATCTCATTGGTAATTCTCCCTATTGTCTGCCATAAGATACTTATGATTTCAATTTGGAGAATTTGATATTGGATCAGCCCGTAGTTCCCTAATTGAGTTTTCTTCTTTATTCTCCTCACTTGTCTGTTTGATTCTGTGTTGATATTGTAAGGAGAAATTCTGTCTTGCTCACTCATGGGAGTTAAAGGGTTGAAGAAAAGAACGGAGGGCTCGATTCTATAATAGGAAAAAAATTTAAATTGATACAAACAGTGATGTAGATATTAACTTGGAAATCAAACAGAGACGAGAAAAGCATTGAGCATGATTTCAACGAAATATTTAATCAGAGGAGAGAACGAGCTATGCGCAAGATTCAACTGAACAAAACTATCAAACAGAGCAGTGAAAAAAAACAGTTCTCAATATAATCGCAACAAACAAAGTTAAAAGAAGAAACAGTGGACTGGACAAACAGTAAAATCATAGGCATGCAATACATGCAAGAGTTATTTTTTCGGCTAGGTGAGTTGAGGTGGGACACTGTGTTAGTGATGTCTTCATTTTTGTTAAAGAAAAAGAGCCTTAACCTCAAAAGGAACGAAAATAACGCATTAGTTTAGTTAAAAGACAGGAAAAAAAAGTTCCTGTTAGTTTGAAATAAACTCACACTTAATTATTATGGTCCATTGTCTTTGTGGTCTGAGTAATTAGAAACAAAAATAAACTTACTTTACCTCAAGAGAGAGGGGGAGGGAAAGGGAGAGAGAGAGGGGGGAGAGAAGAAGAGAGAGAGGGAGGGAGAGAGGGGGAGAGAGAGGGAGGGAGAGAGGGGGAGAGAGAGGGAGGGAGAGAGGGGGAGAGAGAGGGGGAGAGAGGGGGAGAGAGGAAGAGAGAGAGGAAGAGAGAGAGAGAGGGTGCGAGAGGGTGCTCACCACTCAAAGAGAAGCCAGCTCTCACTGGCGATGTAGCTAGAGCATGGAATCTGGCATAAGGACCTTACCAAGAACCTTAGCGGGCTTAGCCGCTCACACAGCAATGTGGAAAAATTGGGAAAAATATCTTTTGCACAACAAAGTTTTATTCTTAAACTCGCCGAAAACTAGCCGCAAACTGTTGTATTTTGATCTCAAAAGCGAATTCATTACTTGCGCATACGTTATTTTGCTCTGTATACTCCTTCTGGAAAGCGTACCAGTCAGTTTCACGAAGTTCGTCGCTGTGTCCTGATCGGGGTAAAAGTGACTAAGACAATGACGAGACCTGACGAGAGTTTAGCAATGGTGAACGACTACTCCCGGAAACCTAGCGAAAATTGATTCTTTTCTGTCTCGGCAAAAGTGGTAAAATTTCTCTTAGAGGAAAATCGCTCCACGCGCCACCTCGCTATTTGTCCCCAAGCGGGTGCCGTCCCCTGGCCAAACGTTAGAAAAATATCGGAGTAAATCTGTATACTCGTTTAATCTCTGCAAATCGTTCTTTGCAGCGCGTCTTCGCTTTTTGTCTTTAAGCTTCTGTGTGAAATGGAAATTTCTCCCAGGTTACCTGAATAATCCTGAAGCTACCGGCCAAATGGTACATAAGGACAGATGGGAGCACAACGGTGATACAAGACATTATGACGAAAATGGGCATTTCTTTATCGTGGACAGGTTGAAAGAACTTATCAAGTACAACGCATTTCAGATAAGGTTTTAATTCTACTCCATCTTGCAAACTTTTGCTATCCTGCGACCTTGCTAAAGGTCTAAGACCCTTAAATGGAGGAGAATTTGGGTCTGGTGACGAATGTAAAGCGTATCAAGAAATGGCCCATTGTTCCGGATCAACTTTTCCAAACAAAAGTCCTGAGTAATTGGTAGTCCTGAGGGACTTTGGCCGAAGGGAGGCGGAAAAGCTCGTAACTGATCGAGAAAATTATCGGAGTGACAATTTTGCTGCACTGTGGGAGTGGGTAGTGTAAATATGCACTAGTAAAATCAATCTCCATCGGTGTACCCAGGGGTTCATTCATTCATTTCATTCATTTTTATTTAAACACGGTCAATTCATCAGCCTAAAAAATACATATCACACACGCTAGAATATTTAAAACTCAAACTATATACTATAACACTAAAAGCTGTTTTCCGTGAGTGCCGTGCGTTAGACTTAAAGAATGTCATTGATCTTACGTTTAAATACCCCCAGAGACTATGTGTTCCTTATATAGATTTGTAGACTTGACCCTCGTTTAGTGCATCGAGACAAAGGTCCGCAAACTCAAAAATAATTAAATTTATCCGTATTGCAGTGAATCATTTAAACCACCTCTCTCTATATGTAAGTCAAGTCGCCTGGTTTTTACCAGTCAGTTTTGTCAACGTACAAATATATTTTTTTGGTCTTACTACTGGTGTTAAATACAATCGAAAGTTACGGTTTTCTTTGGGAAACCTCGAGGCGATTAAAGACCTTGTTTCTAGCGCACAGCAGTTTTCAAACGAGGCGCTCATCATTTTTAGAATCGACATGTTTTCCTAACACGAGGATCCTTTGTCACTCCCGACTCCCCTGAGTAGGATTTTGTCATTTTTGCGGTCACGTGACCACGCGAGCAATCTTGTTGTATTCGCCATGTGCTTTCAAGTGCCAGATTTATTTTTTGTTAAATACGGAGTTTACAGAGCTTATTTCGTTTATTTTAAACCGAGAGGTCATACAGTTCGAAAACCACTCGCATCGCCTTTATGTAAACAAGGAACGTGTCGATTGTGAGTTTTCACTGTGTGCCTCGGGTTGTGCAACTGTGTTATATTTTTGTGGTCCGTGGCCGTACGGACTTTGAACATTTGGAGATATTTGTGAATAAACCAGTACGTTATTGACAGTTTTCGAACTGAGCGCTTCATTTGGTGGGCTGAATTTGAGTAAACATGTCAACACATTCGTGTCCTGTGAGTCCTGTGGCGGGAAGAGGAGCTCGACTGAAAACGTATTCGACAAGGAGGAACGAAGAGGAAGATAAAGCTGAAAGAGCCGAACAGCTAAAGAGATCAAAGGCAGGATTTGCTGGTGCGTTAAAGAAATTGTGAGGAGAAATTGAGTCTTTATTAGCCGAAGGAAAGGGTTTGCGGTCTGAAAATTTGGCTTTAAAACTTGCATCTTATGACCAAATATGGAGGAAATTCGTAGATGCACACGATTGCTTTATGGAGTTGATGGAGTTGGAACCGGAAAAGCGAAAGGCTCTTATGGTTTACGATGAGGAATTAGCGAGGAAATTGGAAATGGATGGCACGGTGAAACGACTTCGCGATTTGTCGCTTGATTTGTTTGAGGTTATTGGCGGGAGTCAAAGGTCTGCGAGGTCTCGTGGAATTGATCCTGGGAGGAGGAGCGCCGAACACGTGAGTACTGTTTCGAAAAAATCGAAATCTAGTTATGTTAGTGCTGGTTCTGAGGCTCGAAGAGAAAAAATGGCCTTAGCAAGACTAAACTTGGAACATTTGAAAAGAAAACAAGAACTTGACCGTAAAATGGCTGAAATTAATTATGCAAAGGAATTAATGGAGGCCGAAATGGAGGCAGAGAGAGCCTTTGTGAGTTTTAGTATCATGGACCGAGAAATTGGGTCTGCAAGGGTTAAGGGAAAGAGTTTACCTAGCCAAGGGGAGAATCTGCCTGGTGATTTATACGATTCCGGGCTGAAGGGTGATGTTGAGAATGTTGTAGAGCAAGCGGGTTCCAAATTGAAGATTAAAGAGTCGCCGAAGCATGACACCAAACCAGTGCCAACTGACACTGAATCTGTGAAGTTACCATTTTCAAAGGGGGATGAGCCAGGAACACCTCTCCAAGGAGATAGTGTGTCAGATTTATCAGAAACTGACAGGAAATTTGAACCGCCACCCCCCACCGAGAACTTTCAAGTTGTAGCGGCTCATCCACAGGGAAATTCAGGAAATTTGCCAATGCAAGCTGATTTGAATACCGGTCAGCAGATAGTTAAAACTCTGAGTCAAGTTATGAACACTCCCAAGATAGAATACATGCGTTTTGGTGGAAATCCAATTGACTATGTGTCATTCATGCGCAACTTTGAAACCTGCTTGGAAGATGATACCGATGGTTCTAGAAGTCTTCAGTTGCTAATTCAACACTGTACTGGTAAAGCTAGAGAAGCGATTGAAAGTTGTGTAAACCTACCAGTGTCAGAAGGTTATGAATCTGCAAAGAAAACCCTGAAAGAAAATTTCGGTCTTCCTCATGTTATCGCGAAAGCTCATTTAAAGAAGTTAGAACAATTGCCACCATTGAAAGCTAGCACTGGGTCAGCATTGTTAGAGTTTTCAAGAAGCCTTGAGATAGCAGAGAGAACCCTGAAGGGAATGGGTCCTGAATATGTCAGTGACTTGAGCCACACCAACACCCTGATGGAGCTGAATAGGAAGCTACCCTATTTTATGAGAGCAAAGTGGGCAGAATGTGCGGGGAGAATCATTGAAGCTGGAGAAAGGCCAAAATTTGAGGATTTTCTGAAGTTTGTAAAGGCCCGAGCAAAGCTTGTGAACAATGAATTTGGAGAATATCTTGCTGCGAGCTCTTCAAGAGAGAAGAAAAGAAATGGAGAGAAGGTAGAGAAACCACTATCAAAGCTAACCTCAATGACAACTAAAGTTGAACTTGATCAGAAAGCAAACCAAAATGGTAAAACATCGGGTGCCAACCGAAAGTGTCCTGCTTGTCTTGGACAGCACGGATTATGGAGGTGTGAGAAATTCAAGAAGCTGCCGTATCCAGAAAGAGAAAGATTGGCGTTAAGCAAGAGGCTGTGCTTCAAATGCCTCAACGGAGGACATTTTAAAGATCGTTGTCCCAAGGAAGCCTTCAAGTGTCAGGTGCGAGGTTGTGTTGAGGATCACAATACTCTGCTACACCCCACTTCCAGAGATCAGACAGAGAGAGTAAGTTCTACCAGTGTTACCCCTCATGGTTCCTCTCTTGATGCTGAAGATCATCTTCAACAAGTTAATGCAGCCACAAGAAATTCAGGTGAAGTCCAAAGAGCGACTCAAGAACGGCAAGGTGCAAGTTCTGTGACAGTAGCAACTGGGGTCGGCGAGAGACGTGTTTGCCTAGGAGTCCTTCCTGTTGAGGTTACAGCCAAGGGAGGGACGAGGACTGTGGAGACGTATGCGCTACTAGACAGCGGTAGCGAGGTGACTTTGTGCAAGGAACAGCTTTTCAATGACCTCGGGTCATGGTGCTCAAGATGTAACTATGAGCTACAAGGAGTGACAGGGTCCAAGAACGTTGAAGGCCACGTGGTAGATATTGTTGTTACGTCGTTGGATGGCAGAGTGTCAGAGGAACTGTTGAACGTTAGAACTGTTGAGCAGATACCAGTGTCAGTCAGTTGCATTCCCAAGATAGAAGACATTTTGAACTGGTCCCATTTAAGGGATGTTGATTTGCCAGAGTTAAGTGCATCAGATGTCGGTCTTATCATAGGCCTAAAGGAGAAGCCCTCATTGTTTGTCCCATTGGAATGTAAGTCAGGTGGACATGGTGAGCCAGTAGCGGTGCGATACTCGTTGGATTGGACAGTTATGGGTGCCTTGGGCGGCACTGGAGATAGTGGACCTTGTTCAGTTAATTTTGTTCGCCTGGGTAACAAGGAGTTTTATGTTGATGAGCCAGAGGTTGTAGAGTTTGAAGGACAGAAAGGTGGTGTTGAGAAGAAAGAGGAGAGTGAAGTTGGAGAATTAGGAGCAAATGAGACAGATGTAAACCTGCAGTGTGGAGATGCAGAAGTGAAGCGTCAAATACAAGATGAGATTTTACATGAGCAAATTGAGAAACTTTGGAAAACTGACTTTGCAGATTCTGTTGTGAGCTCAAGCGCAAGTCTTTCAATTGAGGATAAGAAAGCACTAGAGAAGATGGAACGGTCGTTGAAAATGGTTGATGGGCATTACCAAGTAGCGCTTCCGTGGCGTAATGATCCACCTTATTTGCCAAATAACAGGTCAATGGTCGAGCGTCGAGCTGAGCTTCTGAAGAAACGTCTCCTCAAAGACCAAGACTTGTTTTCCAAGTACAATGCAACCATGAATGAATACGTTGAAGAGGGCCATGCAGAGAGAGTACCAACCAATGAGCTACACCCAGAAGACCGACCAGTGTGGTATTTGCCCCACCACCCAGTTATGCATCCATTAAAACCGGAGAAAGTCCGAGTAGTTTTTGATTGTGCGGCTCAGTTTGGCAAGACGTCTTTGAATCAGCAATTGTTGCAGGGCCCCGACTTAACTAATCGTGTTGTGGGAGTGTTGAGCCGTTTTCGCCAAGAGACTGTCGGCCTTGTAGCCGATATACAATCAATGTTTCATCAAGTAAGAGTGGAACCCAGAGACTCTGATGCATTAAGATTTTTGTGGTGGGAGGGAGGAGAGCTATCAGCAGAGTTAGTGGAGTACCGAATGGTGAAACACATATTTGGAGCGACGTCGTCGCCAAGTGTCGTGAACTTTTGTTTGAAGAAAACTGCAGAGATGGACGGAGGGCAGAATTCAGAAGTTGCAAGTGTCATCAACAGGAACATGTATGTCGATGACCTCATGAAGTCAACTGAAACAGTGACAGACGCAATTGTGCTGGCAAACAAAGTTCGTGAGCAGCTCAGCAAAGGTGGTTTTCATCTAACAAAATGGTGCAGTAATGACAGGAGAGTCATGGCTGCTATTCCAGAATCAGAGAGAGCTAAGACAGTTGTGAACTTGGAGCTTGAACAGCTTCCAACCCAAAGTGCCTTAGGAATGAAGTGGGACGTTGAAGATGACAAATTTGTGTGGGAGGTCTCAGACAAACTTATGAGTGCGTCTTCCAAGAAACCAGTGACAAGACGTGGCATAGTGTCTGTTGTGTATTCTTTATTTGATCCACTTGGGTTCATTGCACCATACATCATGAAGGCGAAACTGCTACTTCAGATGTTAACCAGAAAGAAGATTGGATGGGATGAACCACTTGAAGAGAACGAGACTGTGCAGTGGTCAAGATGGCTAGACGACCTTAGCAAGCTTGAAGAGGTGAAGATTGATCGCTGTTTCAGACCCAAAGGATTTGTAAAGGTTCAAGAAACCCAGTTACACCTGTTCTCAGATGCCTCGAGACAAGGTTATTCATCGGTCGCATACCTTCGTTTTGAAGATGTTGAGGGGCGAGTCCATTGTTCGTTCGTCATGGGCAAGGCCCGGTTAGCTCCAATCAGAGAAATTTCCATTCCAAGACTTGAGTTGACTGCAGCAGTCATCTCTGTGAAACTCAGCCATGCTATCCGTGATGAATTGGATCTGACCGTGAACAAAGTCATTTACTGGACAGATTCCAACTCTGTTTTGAAGTATATAAACAATGAAACCAAGAGATTTCACACCTTCGAGTCCAACCGCCTGACGATTATACACGATGGTTCTGCTCCCCAAGAATGGCGATATGTCAACAGAGACGAGAACCCGGCAGATGATGGATCAAAGGGTCTAAAGCTAGACGTTCTAATCAAGAACAACCGATGGCTGACAGGTCCTAAGTTTTTGTGGAAAGGGGGAGAATACTGGCCAAAGATGATTGAGGTCCCTTGCCTCAAGGATGAAGATCCAGAAGTCAGAAAGGAGAATCAAGTTTATGTGACAGCGGTCAGTTGTGATGTCGTGGAGAAGCTTATTCTGTACTATTCATCCTGGTGGAAGCTCAAGGTAGCAATTGCCTGGTTGCTGCGCTATAAACAGTATCTTATGAACAAGTTTCTACAACTCAGAGAAGGTTGCCCAACCACACATGATTCAGCGGAAGGAAGGAATTACCTCAAACTTGACGAGCTTCGCGAGGCAGAGCATGAAATCATGCGCTATGTTCAACGCAAAGAGTTCCCTGATGTAACAGCTCTCCAGCCAGGAGCGGATGAAAGGTCAGTAAAGAGGCTAATGAAAAAGATGGGAGCTTCAATAAGCAAGTTAAATCCTCAAGTTCAAGATGGATTGCTGAGAGTAGGAGGCCGTATTGGACGTGCGCCTTTGTCTTACGAGTTGAAACACCCAGTTATTTTGCCCTACAAGCATCACGTCACAGATTTAATAATCAGAGATCATCACCTCAAAGTGGGACACATGGGCCAAGAGTCAGTTCTGTCGTCGTTGAGACAGAAGTATTGGATTTTGAAGGGCAGATCTGCAGTGCGCCGGGTGCTAAGCAAGTGCCTTGACTGTCAGAAGAGAAGTGCAAAACCGGCAGAGCAGTTCATGGCAGAACTCCCAGCAGATCGCGTGACTCCAAGTGAACCACCCTTTTCATATGTTGGAATCGATTGTTTTGGCCCAATCGAAGTGAAACAGGGAAGATCACACGTCAAGAGGTACGGCTGCTTCTTTACATGTTTAACTGTACGTGCAGTACACGTCGAGATTTTGCACTCGCTGAGTGCCGATTCTATGATAAACGCCTTGAGAAGGTTTATTAGCATGCGAGGTTGCCCCAAGGAGATTCGAAGTGACGACGGAACAAATTTCACAAAGGCTGACAAAGAGTTGAGAGAAGCTGTACAACTCTGGAACAACCAAAGAATCAGTAATTTCTGCGCTCAGAAAGAAATAAAGTGGACATTCAATCCACCAGACGCGAGCCATATGGGGGGACCATGGGAGAGGATGATTCAAACTACTAAGCGAGTGTTGAAGGCTTTGTTGAAGGAACAGTTGGTGACAGATGAAGTCCTTTCTACTGTCATGGCAGAAGCTGTCAACATTGTCAACAGCCGTCCCTTAACACGCAACAGCGACAGTTCCTTAGATGATCAGCCAATTACCCCCAACCATTTGTTGCATTTGCGCCCAACGCCCAGTTTACCGCCAGATGTGTTTGACAAAGGAGATCTTCACTGCAAGCGTGCATGGAGACAAGCTCAGTATTTGGCTGGTGTGTTCCGGCGGAGATGGTCCAGCGAGTACTTGCCAACCCTTATGGAGAGACAGAAATGGAAGATGCCTAAGCCAAACATCAAAGAAGGGGACTTGGTCCTATTGGCAGATGAAAGTTACCCTCGTGGCCAGTGGCCGATCGCACGTGTGGAGGAAGTTGTTGTCAGCAGAGACGGGTATGTGCGTACCGTTCGAGTGAAGACTGCCTGTACAGTGGCGACTCGTGCTAAGAGAAGACGCCGCAGAAAGCTGAAGACTAGCAGTGTGATAGTCACTCGGCCAATCACAAGTTTATGTCCTTTAGAGATGGACTGATTTAGAACTGTGGGAATGTATCCCATGATTACTGAGTGCTGTTTAAACTCAGGCAGTTAGGAGTCGGTAGCTGTTTGAACATTGTAAATGAAATATATTAAAGTTCACACGGCAACCAGGTGGACAATCAGACATAGTTTGAAGCTACACTGGTTTGCAGATTTAATGAATGTAACCGAAGAAGTTACAATTCATAGACCCAACGTTTCGACACTCCTGTCTAGTGCCTTCATCAGGGGTGATCTAAACGCTGCAACAAGAGGTCCTTTTATATGATCACTAATTAGCGGCCTTTTTTTCTGACGAGGTGTAAATAGGCGTCAGGAAGCAGACCGCCATCGTCACGATTTAAAGGAGCGTGGGCGGAGTTAATGTGCCAAGCCTCCAAACAAAGGCGCTGGTGGTAACGCCGATTAGTAGTGATAATTTTAGAATTATCCCACCCAATTGTATGGTTGGTTAGGCAAGTATGCTCCGATAAAGCTGAATTTTCCTTTTTGCAAAGAAAAACCGCTTTTTGGTGCTCTTTTAACCGTGTACCAAACTGGCGTTTGGTCTGTCCGATGTATTCGTTATCACAGTCATTGCAAGGAATAGAATAAATGGCGTCGGTTCGTTGTTCTTTCGTGACAGGATCCTTAGGTTTGGCGAAAATATGCCCCAAAGTCTGAAAAGGTTTTTGAGCAACTTTAACGTTGTGGCTATTCAAAATTCTCTTGATGGGTTCAGTAACACCCTGTATGTAAGGAATAACAGCAAAACCAGTCGCTGGTTCCCTTTCATCAAGAGCGTTACTATTTGTAACTGGTTTTTGGCAGTTACGGAGAAAAGTTTTTGTATAGCCATTTGCCTTTAGGACATTGGAAACATATTTCCTCTCCTCAGCCTTGGAATCGAGTGATGATGGTAGACAATCAGCCCTCCTAAGTAAAGTTTTGGCTACAGACTTTTTATGGCAAATAGGATGGTGAGAATCGAAAGCGAGGTATTTGTCGGTGTGGGTGGGTTTACGATAGACACTTGTCTCTAAATTACCCTGAACCCCTCTAGACACATTTAAATCAAGAAAGGGCAAATGTCTATCCTTTTCACGTTCAAGGGTGAATTGGATCGACGGCTCTACTGAATTCAAATGCGACAAGAGGCGCTCCGCTTCATTTCCGGATACCGCAGAAATAACATCATCGACATATCGTTTCCAGAAAAAGGGTTTAACCGGTGAAGTGGCTAAGGCCCTTTGTTCCACGTCTTCCATTACCATGTTAGCAATGACAGCAGAAACAGGCGAACCCATAGCTGTACCAAAAACTTGTTGATAGTATGTGCCGTTATATGTAAATTGCGTGGTTTTGAGGCAAAAAGACAGCAGATGAATAATATCCTCCACAGGCAAAGAAGTTCTTTGTCCTAGGGAAGCATCTTCTCTGAGTCTTTCCTCCGCAACCTTAACGGCAAGATCAACTGGGATTTTAGTGAAGAGCGAAACAACGTCGAAAGATACTAATTCTTCACAAGCGTCAAGAGTTTTATCTCTTATGAAATCCGTAAATTCGCAGGAATTTTTGACAGTGTAATCAGTATTCCCAACAACAGGCGACAAAATTCTCGCAAGATAACCAGAAATTGCATAGGTCGGAGAATTAACAAAAGAGACAATGGGTCTCAAAGGAATTCCCGGTTTATGAATTTTAGGTAAGCCATAAAAACGTGGACATAAGCCGTCACTACTGTATAACATTTTGTACGTAGAGTCACTAATTAGAGTCATTAATTAGTGATCATATAAAAGGACCTCTTGTTGCAACGTTTAGATCACCCCTGATGAAGGCACTAGACAGGAGTGTCGAAACGTTGGGTCTATGAATTGTAACTTCTTCGGTTACCTAAAATTCAAACTGCCAAAAACCAGTTACAAATAGTAACGCTCTTGATGAAAGGGAACCAGCGACTGGTTTTGCTGTTATTCCTTACATACAGGGTGTTACTGAACCCATCAAGAGAATTTTGAATAGCCACAACGTTAAAGTTGCTCAAAAACCTTTTCAGACTTTGGGGCATATTTTCGCCAAACCTAAGGATCCTGTCACGAAAGAACAACGAACCGACGCCATTTATTCTATTCCTTGCAATGACTGTGATAACGAATACATCGGACAGACCAAACGCCAGTTTGGTACACGGTTAAAAGAGCACCAAAAAGCGGTTTTTCTTTGCAAAAAGGAAAATTCAGCTTTATCGGAGCATACTTGCCTAACCAACCATACAATTGGGTGGGATAATTCTAAAATTATCACTACTAATCGGCGTTACCACCAGCGCCTTTGTTTGGAGGCTTGGCACATTAACTCCGCCCACGCTCCTTTAAATCGTGACGATGGCGGTCTGCTTCCTGACGCCTATTTACACCTCGTCAGAAAAAAGGCCGCTAATTAGTGATCATATAAAAGGACCTCTTGTTGCAACGTTTAGATCACCCCTGATGAAGGCACTAGACAGGAGTGTCGAAACGTTGGGTCTATGAATTGTAACTTCTTCGGTTACATTCATTAAATCTGCAAACCAGTGTAGCTTCAAACTATGTTTGGAAAGCAAGTTTCCATAGCCAATCAAAAAGCAACTTAAAAAGGTGCTAATAGAGCTTGCATCTGAGGCGCCCTTTGTTACAATATGACTTCGAAAATCTACCAGGTTTCGTGCCATAAATGCGAAAAACGTTTCAACACAAGCTTCGCTCTAAAACAGCACTTGGTTAAGTCGCATTCAATTAGAACTTTACCGAAGAGAATAAGCTTTGTGAGTGAAGGTATCGAAGCGCCACTTCCAAAACCACAAAGAATAAGCAAGAGGACCGGACCGTATCACGCTTATAAAACATGGAGAGAAAGTGTGCTGAAAGGAATCAACAATGCTCACCACCCAAGAGCTCGAGGTAATTTTGAATATCATACGTCTATATATCATCTGTTTTACATGTTTGTGTGAGCGTCACACGTAGTGGTGCTGTGTTTTGAGGAGCTCGAGGTTGCCATTGACTTCACTTTGTTCTTTAACATACAGCAAAATGGCATAAACAGGAGTTCAATTTCGTTCCAGCTGAGTTCTTCAGACAGTTTCTAGCCGATCTGGGCAAGACAACAGTGTACTCGGTCAAAGACACCAGTCACTGGAGAACTCCTATATTCCATACAAGTACGAGACGGATTTCTTTCAAGATGTTTCAAATGACAGCAATTCGATCTGCGTTACTGGAAATACAGAAAGCACAGGCCTGGTGCGGTAATAGAGTTGAGTTGAGTTGAGTTGGACGACATCAAAACGGCCGAGAACGCCATTCATGCAGCTATTAAACGTGCCAGAACGACCAGAAAGCGTGTATCGTGCAGAAGCCAGTAACACGTCAGTTGCGAGAGTCGGCCGTCATGAGAGTTTGAAGTGATCTGGTGGCCGGACATGTATGAGAGCAGTGGCTACGGCAAAATGTCCGCGGTATTACGTTGGGAAAGTATTTCGCTAGTGAACCACTAAACAAGGAATCCCCTCTGAAAATTTCGTTATGTTATCTTTACATGCTCAACCACAACTTCGGCATAAAGTTGATTTTACACGGAACGACTTAATCGTGTCACTTAGCGCTGAAAATTCTTAACAAGGACATTGCGGGCAAGTGTCTTTATGTCTTCTAGTTTTCTCAACACGCTGCCACAACAAAAATAATGAGTGCAAGTGGTCGTCTAAATTTTATGGTGTAACATCACCTTAAGCTGTTAGAATATTTTCCATTGCAATATTTCATTTTTTTGAGAGAATAGCTTGTTTATTCCATAGCGCGTGTACGAGGGTAGTGCGTGAGTCAGACGTAACAATTTCGAGAACGTGGCACGTGTCTCTCAACGCAAACGGAGTCACATTTACATTTATTTTATTATAACTAAAAGCGGTCACAAGTTTAAGACACAACTTGAAATGATTTCCTTCTTTTAACAAATTTGCAGAATTAGTGTAACTACTTCTGTTTACTCCTGAAAATTTTAAATTCACGCTACGCGTTCTATAATTTTTTCATTTGTCATATTATTTCGAGATCTATTACTAGAGCCGGGGCCGAGGTATCAACTTAGTCTACTGCATAAAACAACCTACAGTATTGCCTTAATGAAACGAATTCACACCGAAATACGGGTATTCTAAGCACCCAAGCATCTCGGTTGTTTACGGGTAGTGAACCTCAGGCATTTAAAAACTCGCGTTCAAATTAAAATCTTCTTATCAGAGTACCCTTGTAAACACCAGGTGAAACGGATTCACACCGAAATACGAGTGTTCCAAGCACCCAAGTATCTCAGTTGTTTACAGGTAGCGAAATGTGGTATTTCAAAGCTCGGGTCAATCTAGTAAATTTCTTGTAAAAATACCCTTGTAAACACCAGGTGAAACGAATTCACACCGAAATACGGGTGTTCTATGCACCCAAGCATCTCTGTTGTTTACGGGTAGCGAAGTTGTGGCATTTCAGAACTCTCGTTCAACTTAAAAACTTCTTGTCAGAGTACTCCTCTAAACATTCAGTTCTAAATACGGGTATTCTAAGTACACAAGTATCCCGGTTGTTTACGAGTTGACGTGAAGGAAATCATGGTGCCTTACTCCAAGACAATATTTGAATCATTAGTTGTATTCTATGCTGCTGCATGTCAGAGAATTTCCATGACAAGTTATGAACAGCGCTTGGCCCTAAAGATATCTGAATGATGAATCTGATGTTTGAGCAACTGTAGCAGCAGACACGTCACCCAGGAGATCAATCTCTGTTGAACACTGGAGCTGTATTCTATCATCTGGTGACACAGCAACTGGATAGTCTCTGTGGAACATGAAGGCTGTTTGTTGCTGCGTTCGGGGTGGTCTTGGTCAGCATCCGAGTTGGGTAATTCCATTAGATTGGCATTTGTAAATTTTGTCGATGGTATGACGTCAACATCACACAAATCCATGGTATAATT